TGCAGAATAATGTGCAGAATAGTACTTCTAACACATTGCCTTAAAAAGAAAATAACCATCCTAACAGCTTGAGAGATGATTTTAGGAGAACCAGATCCCTGTTTAATGAAATAACAGAGCACTAGCCATTAACAGTATTTAAAAGTTAGTACTACTGTTATAATTAAGCTATTTTATATATAAAGCATAAAATAAACTTTTTAATAACACATTTTAACCTGCAGTTAAAGTGCTGTACTTTCCAACATGCATTCAGCCAATCTAATGTGTAGCATAAGCACATAATTTTATCAGGAATTACAGCATATGTGAGTGCTTTTATTGAATTGTTTGTATAAATAGGGCTCTGTTTACACACACATTATGGTATTTCAAACAATAATGAATAGAAAATGCTTGACTTCCTTTCTACTATACTTCATGTAAGCACTGCATACATGTCTTTGTTCAAGTATTTGCCTTTATTTATTTATTATAGCAAGGTTTTTTTGCAAACTGAACATTTATAAGAAATTCCTTCTTTTGCTAATAGAGCATGGAAAACAGCATGCTTGAAAACTGGAAGATGAGTCTTTATCTCAAGTGAGACAGAAGAAGATGTAGGTATGATTTTTTAAAAATAAATTTTAAAAATATATATTTGTTCAATGAACACATTGAATCAGTGAACATCAAGATTTTCTGCTCTAAAATATAAAGATTGCATCTAGTGCATCCACACTTCAGATCTGCAAGTCCTGGCCTGGTTTCTGCAGATCCTCAATGCACAGATAATCTGTGCATGAAATAGAGGTGCAAAGATAGACTCACACTGAGCACAAGACTGATAACTGAGGCTTAGAAATGGGCTCTTATCACTCTTGGAGCATCTTGCTGGGATGGCACTCCAAGGCAGGAGGATGCCACCACTGATCCAGCTCCCTGATTGCCCTGACCCCTCCGTGATTGTGCTGTCCTGGAGCTCAGGCTCAGACACTCCCAGGGCTCCCAAGTGACTAAGTTGTGACAACATTGCAGGAAAAAGGAAGACAAAGGAGAAATATTAATATACAATTACACTAACTGAATAAACAAGATCCAAAAATGAAAATCAGTATGCCAGTGCTCTAAGGCAGAGTATGAACTGAAGTTTAAAGGGTGCAGATCTTTCTCTGCTGCTGAACAAAGACAACTGGAACAAGGATTTCCAGGAGGAGTGGATCTGACCTGGGAGGCTTGTACAAACATGCCACAGGTAGTGCTTATCAAAACAATATTGTTAGCTGGAATTAACCCTGATAAATCCCACTGCCTTAATCTGTGGAGCCTCGTTCCAAGCACACATATTATCAGACTTTTCAGTTCTAAATATGTGCTGCAGTGCAGAATAAAGTGTGACTTCCTTCTTTGTGTTTCAGATATTTCCAATAGCATTATAAATGCTGTCCCTGGTGCCTTGCCTAAGTTAATTAATATCCCAAAACATGAAGAAAACACACCAGCATGGGTACATTAACAAGATGGTGTTTGGTGGGTCTACAGTGACCTGTTGCACACCTGATGCAAGAACAAAAGGGTCTTTTGTTAATTAAATATTCACATCCTAAGCACTAGAATCACTGCTTTATCTCATAATACTGCGGTGATTAACTTTAATTAATTTTCACATGTGGTATGAAAGAAATAGCAACTTCATCTTTTTGTTTCAGTATTATTCTTGTCTGCTGGTTCGTGTGCAGGTTTACCTGTTTCATTACTCCCCTTTTCTCCTCATTTATTTTTAACATCAGTTTTGACTTGATAGCTGCCTAGGGCATGGATTATCTCTGTCTTGCATGCCAATAAAAACAAAACACATCTATACCTAGAGGCCTTGGTCGGGTCTTTAAGGCACTGCTGCAACAGCAAAAATCAATAATACTTGGTACAGCGGAAATGAAAGAAGGTTTCTATATGTGAAACCATTTAGGAATTAATGGCTTTGTAGGTATGGCAACAGAGGTCCTTCCTAATTCTCTTGCTTTGTCCCTGTTGATTGTCCAACAGGATTTAAGCTGAGGGGCAGGTGATGGTTTCTTTCTGCAGGATAAATTAGTTTGTGCACATCTCTTTACTGCCAGAGGCAAACCAGTTTAAAGCCAGTCTGGGGATTCGTGCACGAGGCTGAGACCACCAAACAGCAGGAGAGACACACTGTGTGTTTCACTGCATGGAACCTGGCTTTGGGTCATCCTTAGACCCTGACTAAGTTCCTGCTTAAACTCCTGTGGGTTTGGAGTCATCTCAGGTGGCTGCAGGCAGCCCATGGTGTGCCCAAACCACTGTTCCTGCAGAGGAGCTTCTCTTGGTGCTTTATTGCCCCACATTCCTCAGCCACTGCTCAGCAGCTCCCTGTGTGGACAGAGGGATTCAGGCTAGCCCATCAAAGCAGACCTTGTGCTGTTAAATATCAGAAACTGGGACTGGCAGGAAGGGTGAGTCCCTTGCACAATGAACACAAGATTTGCCGTGTCACCTAAAGCCACAGCCATGCTCTGCTGTCGGGAGTGCCAAGCTCCTGTCCCAGAGTGATGAACACTGGGGGAGACAGGAGCAGAAAGAGAGGAGAGAGAAGAAGAGCACATTTGGATTAAGGCAGTAAATCAAAGCCATGTTAAGGCAATATGTTATATATTATCCTTTCATAGTGCAACTTGTTATTCCTTGTTAAGTGGTGTTCATAGCAGGAAATTTGGAAAAATATCCAATTTCCAGTTAATGCTAATTTGCTGAGACCAAAAGAAATACATATTTGTTTTGATGAATTCCTTCCAAACTTGGGATGCTTTCCACTGGAAATTCACTCAGTTTCCATTCTAGAAAGCTTCTTGGGAACCTGGGATCTCATTTAATTTGCTCATGGCCACTAATTAAAGTCCTGACAGACCCAGGAGCACACTGGATATGCTCCTAGCAGGGACTCAGCTCCTTGCTCCAGCCTTGACTTTTAGGATGTTTGACTCCCTGCCATGGAGTTGAAATGAGGTTGATTCTCTGGCTCTCCAAACTGCCTGTTGGCTGTGGCAGTGTAGTGGTTTTGGTTTGTTAATTTGAGATTTTTTGGTTGATGTATCAATGAGTGTGGTGGGTTTAGTGTCGGATAATTATTAGTGTATTTATTAGAATGTATTTATTTTTTTGTTGTGATATAGGATTACGAGAAAGGTAAAGTAGGCTTTTAAAGGGTATAAAGAAAAATTCATAAATAGTAAGTAAAAGAAATAGTAATAAAGATTAGAATAAAAGTTTTAGATTTAATATTTTAAATTTTAGATTTAAAAAATTTCTCAGCTTTTTTTTTTATCTTTAACATGTATTTTTCACAAAAACATACACAACTTTCTAATAATGAAAACCTCCATGTTATTTCTATAAATACTTTCCAGCAAAACCACCACAGGCAGCTGCCCAGATGAGCAGGCTGGGGAACCGTGGGCTTCTTGCAACACTGAGAGCCTTGCCTGAATTTGGGGCTCTTCCATTTCCCTGGCCAATTTTCCAGGGGTTGAAGACAGCCATCACTGTCTCACTTTTTTTAGAATACAAACACACAAACAAAAAAACCCCACCACAAAACATCCCTCTGAAATGGAATGAATATTCCAGTTCACTGGAAATGCAAATATTGGGCTACTGGACATGGATGTGGCTCTTTTGGCTGCCTATTTATTTTGGGCCACTCTGAGTTCAGTCACCATTCCAATGGCCCCTGGATGTCAGCCTTTTTTGACTGGGTGAGCTAAAATACTTGAGATGCTGCAGGAGCATCTTAAAATTCTTCACAGCTTTTACAAAATCATGTACAAGTATTTAGGAATGCCCCCTCTCTAAAAAACCATGCCCTGCCTCTATATATCCATAGCCTATTACTGTTGATGAGGAGATTAAAATGCAAAAAGAGCTCTTATTAAACAGAAAATGTAGTTTGGCTCCATCCTTAAGCAAATTAGCACCCTAAACAGGATTTCTAAGTGCATTTTAAAGAGAAACAGCTGTTATTAACCCACTAGATATTTTGGCTTAAAATTGACTAAAAAGTAGGCAATAGTCTCATTTAAATAGCATGCAAAAGAGATGTGGGAGGCAGAATGGTTATCTATATTATGCATGACTAAAAAGCAAGCTCCATTTCTGTCTCTTTGTGCATTTAAATAGTGTGGAGACACACAATTGGAATGATGCACAAGGAGAAGGTGTGAGAGTGGCCTTGGTTTAGAAGCTCTGTGGGGTTTTTGAGAAGCATGTGGCTCTGCCAGCCAAATTTCATATGTTCGTACCCAAGTGATGCCAAGCACATTTTTGACTGGGGTTTTTGAATAACCCCTACCAAAAAAATTGCTCTTGACTTCTGCTGATGAGAAATAATACTTTAAGTACTTAACCCCACAGAGTCAATTTTCTTGAATTGTTTGCAGTAATGGAGAGTTTATAGACATGTAAATAATTTTATTTGCATGGCCAGGTTATATGTATGCATATGGAAATCTACCTGAAAATCTGCTCCTTAGAGAAGGAACTAGTTAAATAAAAAAATGTGTAAACTCTGCAGTTGGGAGCACAGATTTCCTATGAGTAAAAACCTTGCCGAAAACAGTATTTCACAATTTTCATATTGGAAAATTTTGTACTGAATCCCTCTGCCATGAACAAATAAAAGTGTTTTACCCTGACAGCCCAGACACCACCATTTATCACATTAAAATGAAAAATTGCCTCAAAAGAAAAAAATCAGGTTGAATGTTGAATAGGAAATGAGTTACATTCATATATCCTAACAAATGTGTGCATGCTCAACGATGTGTTTTGTTGACAGTTTTTAAATATTCAGTTCCCTCATTTGACTCCAAATCATTCTGCTCTCTGAAGAAAGGCAAAAATC